TGAGGGAAACTAACTAATACTATAATGCATGAGAAAAAATAGCAAGTTTTATGAAGGAAGTGAAAGGGATAATGATAATGAGAACTGAAATTATGTGATATAGCAGTCATTCTCATTTAATGCATTAGTGAGATTATTTAAAACTTTGTACATGAAGGAAGAAGAGAGAAACAGTATGAGAGTGAATACCAATTTGTATTTTAATGTTTTAATTTTAATTTTGTGCATTAAAAAAATTCAAATAAAAGTGTAGATTATCAAAATGCTTTTCAAAAATTCTATGAATTAGATAAATATTATTATATATATATAAACTATATTTGAGATATGTAGATTTTTTATAGAAGTAATGCTAAGAGTATAGAGATGTCAAATGAAAGAAGACATTTTTACAAATAAAATAAAATGTTATATGTAACTGAAACCTATAAAATTTCTTATTATATATTGGGATAGTGTTAAAGGTAGATTTCCCAAAAAAACAGAAACAAAAAGTGTAAAAATCATAAAGGCTAATAAATCTATAGCGAAAGCATTGCTAAACTAATTAATGAATATTTGCATGCCCTTTTTCAAAAGCACTATAAAACAAAACAGCATATTCAGATTTTAATTGTTCTACATATTCCAAACAAATACTTGCACAGCTGAATTTTGAAACATTGCTTTCCAATCAGAGTTTAATAATGTAATGTGGCACAAACATTAACATAAGTATACATCATCAACCTCCTTAACATAATCATAATATGTTATAAAAGATCGAATATCCTAGCTTTTCCTATTTTTCCTAGAATCTAAAAAACAAAATCATTTCAAAGAAACCTTATTAATTCCTCAAGTGCTTGCAATAGTTTAATAATGTTTATTTTATTTAAAAAGTTAAACATTATTGAAAAATGCAAGGATACTCTATAAAATATGCGTCATTGAAACTTGAATAAATTTTAATAATCCAAAAAATATTATTATATATATTAATCTATGAACACATTCTGTTTACATCCTTACCTAAAAAAATCTTTACAGGGAAGATATAAAGAAGAAGGGCAAATTATTTTATTGATTACAAACCTAGTGAGGTATTTATACTATTCATTTCCCAAAATTAAAACTGAACTCTGGCAGAAATGCATCGAACTAGCATAAAGTTTTGCTGCAGTTCCAATATATCCAACCACTAAACTATTTTTCTTATACATCTAATTTAAATAAATTCTAAAATTGAGTAATTGCACATTTGATCATTTTTATCTGAGGGACAGATCTCAATTGAATTCCCTAAATGATAACATTAAAACTCCTTAACAACATTATCCTAAAACTTCAACTTTTTACAATATCAAAATCAAAATAATAGATTTATTTAACTTAAAGAAAATAATTAATTGTTCTTTCAGTTTACTTATACCTAAAATTATTTTAATATTGTTTAAATATTTCAGGAGGATACCACTACTACTTAAAATATAAATGTATGTATATATAATAAGAGTATTAACAATGTTGTAATATGTCCTAAAACAAAAGGTTATATTATCTTACTCTTATATTCTTTATAATTGTCATGATTACTTTATCCAAAGGTTGCTCTATCAAATGAGTAGTACCGGCCTTAAGACCAAGCAACCCGAGCAATTGTCCCAGGACCAATTGCTAGCAATTAAAAAAAAAATTACAAATTGTATGAAAATAATTAATTTTAGCTTATTAATGAAGAAACTAAATCAGAGACATATTGAATGAAATAAAATTCAAATATTACTTAATAAAAAAATTAAGAAATAAATTAATTTTTTTTCTGGTGAGAGATGACATTATTGTCCGGAGGAACCAAAAATCTAAGGCCGGCACTGCAAATGAGAATAAAACAATTTTCCAATGGGTGGTCCCCGCGGGAAGGTATACGATACCCTCTTAATTAGGGAAGGCCTACAAGTTGAAAATATACTTTTAAAAATAGGTTAGTAAGACAAAAAAAAAAGATAGGATTAATGAAATATCAGAAAATATACAGTTTTCTAACTTTAATAGCATCGTTTTAGGGATTAAGGGCGAAAAAGTTCTTATTCAAGGTTTGGATTCACTTAGCCTACTACTCGAAACCAAACTACATTAATGTCTATGACATTGTAGGTTTCTTTGTGAGCAAATTTGAAGCTTTGAAATAAATTTTTAAAAAATTAAAATTTCAGGATTGGGCATCCTAATAAAAATTTTCTAATTGCAAAATAGAAAAAGTTACTTAAAAAAAACTTATAAATAAAAGAAAACACTCATTATTGTCACTTATACATAAAATAGTTGACTGAACATAAACCCTGATCTAAACTAAATCTACATGTATTTTTCTTACTTGTTGAAAATAAATCCAATGATCTAGGCAATACAATTATATTGTTCGAAGTGACAGTTACTATTACATAATTAAATCAATTAAAGTAAGGAAAGCCAAAATATAACTAAGTTATATTCCTCCTTTATTTTGATTAGAGATATATTAACTGTGTCCTGATAAAAAAACAATACTGATAATAAAAAAGATGTATCATACTAATTTGTTTTATTACAGAATGCTATACATTTTATTATACAACTATGCAAGTACAGTTTATAACATTTTTATTAAGCCAGCACACTTATATCCAACATTTAACAAATATGATTTTTGCTGCTTTTATAGTGGGCATGCTAATGGTAAAAATTAAGAAAAAAATAATAGATTTTTAAACATGCAATAATTGATTTGAACTAACTAATAGCAGATGCAAGAAACAAACAAGTGCATAGTGGTCATGCTATTGTGATCATATGATTTTGGGACAGACCTAAAACCAAATCTATAGCACCTTATTTAACTTTTAAGTTTTAATTATTAAAAAAAAAAAACATTCTTCTTTTTTTTTTTAAAAACAAACAGTAGGTCAATCCCTGTAAATGCTAATAAATTTTATACTTACGATGATGCTTCAGAGCTAGATATGCTGTGAATGCTCCCATGGCGTGGGCTTGGGACCTCTTGTGAACGTTGGAACCCGATAACGCCGCTGGGACCACGCCTTCCCTGGCCCTCTGCACCAACAGATACTACTGACTACTCTACTCTAGCCCCCCACCATATACAACCAATACCATTGCGACAACATTTTAATATTTATTTTTTTATTTAAATGCTTTTTAATTATTAAATGCATAATCATATTGTTTGCAATAGGAATTGAACAATGATATTACTTTTAATAAAAAATCAAATTTAGGCAACTAATGGGATATATTTTAAATGCACGATTTCTAGTAAATAGCAAGCTTATTCTGTTAAATATTCACCTAAATTGATCCTGCACTTAACATAAAAAGCTTTTCATGCTTAATATTTAGCCAAAATATGGATACAATAAAGATAAATTTCAATGTATTACTAGTGAGTAAACTTTAAACTGTCATTGATATATTTCCTAAACAAAAAATTAAGTTTGAGAAAAAGCTATTATTCAAATATACCTTGACTAAATACTCACTGGTAATCTTTTGGTGATGAATTGTGCAGGTGTTATCTAAAAACTATAGCTTATCCAAAATGTCCAGCAAGTTTTCTACAGCTCTAATTACTTAACTATTTTAATAGCAAATACATAGGAAACGTGAAATTTTGGATAAACTGATTGTGTAACAGTAAAGCAGTAAACTGTGTAATATTTGATTTGTGAGTTCATAAAAGTGATTATGCTTACCACACAGCAACATGACACAAACATATGTACACATACATATAAATTTACATACATACACACAAATGCATCCATTTTTGTATGTATGTATGTGTGTTTTGTGTGTGGTTGTAATATACATACATTTAAATAATATAATAAATTGAAAAATAGATTAATAAACTTGTATTTTCATCGTTATATTATAATATTTCAAATTTTAGATATAAAGTAATAGTCGTTAACCTATCATCATAAATTCTTAACACTAAATATTTTTTTCAATAAATTTTCTAATAATAATTTAATCATATATATATATATATAATATATAAAGAGAATAATAATTTAGTAATCCTATAAAAATATTTTACATATTCTACCTCTTAAAAGCTCTAATTTTATTATTTAAAATTTTCTAATTAAAAAAATAATAAGCATGCTACAAGCATTGTATTCATAGTCAAAACTAGATATTTTTAGCAAACTTTTGCATGGCAACTATGAATACATTCAAGATCTATTTACTCCTATATTTCTGAATATAGACAAATTTAATTATTTTTTGCTTTTCAATTCAAAAATAATCTGTACAATTAAAAAACAAATAAATAAAAAACATCAAACACTGTAGAAACAACTATACAGCAGTTGCGACATACAGCACATCCATTAATGGCCCAGGCCTTTTCAGATTAATAAGTCAATCAAAATAAAATTAAAGTACGATTTAACACAAAAGTGCCACAAATATTTACAGCCAACCGAATAATGGCAACTTTTCACAACAACCATCTCTCTGAAATATCCCAAAAAAAAAGAAAAAAAAAAAGAAATCAAACTATAAACTTTTTCCATGAAATGTTAAGATTAATACAAATAAATTATTTGTCATGCGTAGATTTCATAATTATGTTAAGTATGTATGTTAGTGTAAAAATAAAGTGTTATAAGCTGCAACAGTAATATTTAACTGAAACATTAAAAATTTGTAAAGATGCTTATTAAGTGTTAAAGTTGTTTCACACAGCTATTCCTTTTTTGAATGAAGGTCCAAGCGATGGTTCTGAAATATTAATAAAATGTATTGTATGTATGAATGATCTATAAAAGAAAATTGGTGTTCACTCCAGGGGGTGTTATAAGTTTTATATTAATTAACGTATTTGATTAAATGTTTTCAATTGATTTCAAAATGGTGTAATAGAAGGATTTGGTGAGTAAAAGGAAGAAATGAGTGCAGGGTAGGAATAGGCTTCAAGGAAAGATAAGGAGAGGATTTAGAGTCTCCACCTGTCTCCATCCTGCGAACCCTCCCCATCACTGGAGACTGAAGATCCCTGTTTCACAAGATGCTTGATGTCATCCGGAACCACTTCTTCACTCCGATGGACAGTAAAAGATGATTTACCCTTCGTACCAAAACCTAACCTACGTTTACGACCTGTGGAAATTCACTTCAATACATATCTAAAAATCCAGATAAAAGCGTTGTTTTTGTTTTATTGACCCTAATTTGAATAAAAATGTTACATAGCATACATAAATTATCATGTTTTTCTGTTGTCTAATATGTACGAGTTTATATGAGTGAAAAAGATGAACCTTCCAAAGTTTGCAATGTAAATAAAATATTCAATGTTAAATTTTGTTACATGAAAATATAATTTCACAGAAAATAATGTACGAGTACACGGATAAAAAGTGACAATTTTGACAAAGTTTTCTATTTCAATGAAGTAAAATGCAAGTAGCTTTTTAATTATTTGTGCATTACATTCATATTCACCAAGAGTTATAAAAATTGAAATTTTAAAACTACAGGCTAAAAACATTAGGATTAAACCAAATCTATATTTTATTTTATTTTTTTATGTCAAAATTTACTGTAATATTTAAGATATGAATCAAGCCTTGGTTTTTTACATTTTGTATTTTAGAAATAATCAAGATAAATATTATTTAAGTTTAGAAGGAGTCACATAATTGGTAAATAAAAATATTTAATCACTATTTTATAAAATGAAATGTACTCCATCCAAAATTGAAATAAAAATAATGTTAGAGCACTCAGCATAAATACATGACTTGTACTGAATAATTTAAGCTAAAAATTGTGTATTATGTTTTGTTGGCTAGGTGTTTAATGAATTTTAATAATACCTTAACAGTAAAAATAATCATTCCATATTAAGATAAAAAATCTACATAGGCCAACTTAAATGGTTCAATATAAAGAAAGAAAAAAAAAAAAAAAACAACAGAAAAACACTAAAGAAATAAATGTAAAAGTTAGATATTGTCAGAAATGGGGTGTTAAGATATACAAACAAAAATAAAATTTACAATTATTAAAAACTATAATTCAAAGAAAATGTCCACAAAAGTGAAAAACAAATATTTTAAATGTTTGAGAAACCATTTCTGAAACTTTAAATTTTCATTCAATCAAATTGTACAAATTATTTAATTAACGAATTATAACTTATTACTTTAGAAAGGCGAACAAGTAGCACCAGATATATATATTTTTTTTAAATAACTTAATATAAGAATAAGATAATATAGAAAGTAATGTAGTATATAATATGAAAATTAGTTGAAAAATCAACCAATGACATATATTTTTAAATTATAATATTAGTTGCACAATAATAACATAAACTTTAAATTAGATTAAACACAATCGATAAAATATATTTTACTTTATAGCTGAGGTTATTGATCATTTAATGCAACAGTAGATTCTTGACCTAAAAATAACAAAATAAGTGATACGTTTATTACAGACTGGGGTTTATTACAGAGTGGGCTAACGCTTGTGCAAAACATGCATTGCCCGGAGCAACCTGGGATAAACCAAAGTTTATGAGGTCAAATCCCGGTGCCAGGGAGGAGAGGAGGAGATTTTAACTCTGCCATTAATTCCTTGCCCTCACCACAGGCCAGAGAAAAATCCTGTATAGTCTAAAAGGAGTGGAAGGAGAGAGAAAAAAAACATGTTTAATACATAACAGAAAAAAATCACAAATGTTCTAGATAATTTAAAATATTTTTTTGAGCATTATCAATATATGATTTCCATAAACAAACAAAATATTGTTTCACTTAATATCGTGGACATATTCCTACATGACCTAAAAGAAAAAATTGATTTCCTGATTATCTCTTACAATCAGAGTAATCAAGTATTTTTTGAGCATCATTCCATTTTCAGATATTTATAACACTGAATGAAATAGATTAAAAATAATGGAATGTTTACTCCTGTCAATTAAAAAATAAGAAATAGTAAAATACTTCAATAATAGTAATAATTCTTTGTTAATTAATTCTATCTGATTCTTCAGTATTCTGGTCCAGCGCTTTTTCTATAAGGATTTTTAGGAATACTAGCTTTTAACAATTATTTAACCTATAAGTAGCAAATTTTTTTTTTCTGCTGTAGGCTGATTCAATATTTCTTGAGACGTTTTGAACTTTACCTTTAATGATAATTAATTTAACCAATATAGCCATAGTAAATAAATTTGTATCTGGCATCATGAACATATTTAAAGTTATAGTTCTTAATTACGAACCCTGCATGAATTTTAACATCTTAAATATCCGACTTTCTTTAAGAAATTTCAATATTTTTTTTTTAAAATTTATAAGTAAAATAAAATTCATGAATTAGTTAAAATCAATAGCATTAATACCTTTCTAATGCTTGCTGACTTCAAAGTATAAGTTTATTGGAATAAAAAGTTTTATTTGGTCATTAAAATAGAATATAACAGTATTTCAACAATTATTTTCATTTTAATCAATAAGGAAATATATTAATTTAACAGATTTATAGTGTTCTGAGAAATACTTGTGTCTTATTTTCAATGTAAACATGTTTAAAAAATAAAATAAAGGACCATGCATACAGGACAAAGATAAAAATAACAATTAAACAACATGAAGTAGATTAAAGGGGAAGGGAATATTATTGTAATTTGGAGGTTATTTTACCCAAAACTAAAACTTTCTGTTTTTCTTAAAACATTCTCAACTAAGCATTGTGATTCTTATACATCTTCTGTAACAATATTATCTATGTAGAATAAAATGATTGTTAAAACAAAATGGTCTTAAATCCAGGGGCCAAATATCCAAAAATACAATGTTGTTATAGATCCCTCATACTCATCTCCTCCTTGCCTGAACCAGGTGTACAGTTAAGAATAGTTCCCAAAAACATATTTTGTACCTACCATAGAATCTTCCATAAGCGAACACACTAAGTGACATAAATTTTATCCTCTCAAGAGAGGTGTCCTTTTAATAGATAATGGTAATTAAAAGGAAACAAAGTATGTACAAAGGAAAATATGTATAACCACAATTTGTTTTTACAAAAAGAGGAATAAACAAAAGGATATCTATAATAAGATTTTAACTTTTGGTGAAAAATCCTTAAGTCTGACAGGCTGTGATAATGTTCTGGCCAACAGATACTCCATTAATAGTTTTATATTTAATTGGGTGTCTTATATATATTTTTTCTGACGATCTATAACGCTTTCTCCTTAATCAGTGACTCGGAAATAAGGATGTATGATGATCGGGCACAGGAAAACCACTCACCTGTTGCCTGGTCTATTTTGAGTCACTTTGTCTTTATAAAAGTCTTTTTAGAATTTACTTTTGCATTATCAGCCCTATTTTACAATAATGTTTCTTATTTTTAAAGTATTTGCAACTTGCGACTTATCCAATTTAAATTAAAAAGTGAGGGGCTGAACATTTAAGTTTTTGGTTTTCATTTTAACTGATAAGATCATTTTTTTCCTTTACTCTTAAAACTTTTTTTCTGACTAATTATGTTGGAAAAGTAAAGAGTAGACTAATTAGAAGCTGCCCAGTTAATAGAAGTAATGAACTATATGAAATATAAAGCATGACGGCGATAAATTCAAATATATTATGTTAATAGATATGTATGCTTAAGGGAGGTGTCCATTAAGAGAGGTTCCACTACATTTGGTATGAGTTTTATACAGAACATATTCTTGAAACAATCAGTTCAGACAGTTCAAGATCTTTCAATTATGAGTTCTATAATGAAATGGCTTTTTAGAGCACTTCCTCTGTTGATAATTCCTTACCAATTCTGTGAGAATTTTTTTAGAGACAAAAATTCTTGAAGCACATTTCACAGACATCTATTTAAACGTTAATAAAATAGTTCTGCCACAGATATCCCTTTATTTTTATCTTACAGAGATATTACTGTCTCTAGTAAAATATAGTTTAAAGTACATTTAAAATATAAAATAAAAATAAAACTTTAAAAGAAGAAATATCAATAATGTAGTTTTAGTTTAATTAATAACATAAAATTATATGTGATATTGACACCTCTCCTATAAATCAACCTTTTATTATTATACAATAATAATAATGATATTATTAAAAACTTGATGGAAAAGAAAAATGACTTAAGAGCAGTTTTTACATTATCTCTTATCTTGTAAACTATAACTTAAAGTGGTGATAACATTATATAGATCCTTAAGGTAATTAAAATGAATGAGGCTAAGCTTCACAGCACTCAGCTTGTATTGATGTGGGATTGATTCCCACTCAGATAAATTAGGATTTGTATTAAAGACAACATTCACAATGAAATGAATATTAGTATATGCTCGAATTGGTAAGAAGTACCTGTGGCTTACTTGCTGGAGTTAGCCTACCTAAAATTACAAAGGTTAGGTTAATTAAACTTATGATATGAATGCACATAAGCATTAAGGAGGTTTTACACAGTTCTCTTTTAAAAATAATGCCGAATGAATCACTCATAGTGAATGGAAATTTTTTTAATAATGATGCATTAGATGTAATAATGGAAAAGATTACTCGATACGAGATCAAATAAATTTATGTGTTTAAAAATTAATTAAAAAAAAAATAAATTCAATATAAAAAAGGTAAAAAAAATGGATTTCATAATGTAATTTCAGCTCTACAACAGTTATAACATGGTGTCCAGCGATGCAGTATAAAAAAAACTCAAGCCCAATTCCAAGATATCAAGACTGTAATAAACCAGAGCTTGAAACGGAAAAAAAACTTTTATTTTTAAAAAGTTTCGGTTTCATCAGAATTTTCATTGTCATTAAATTTTTAATTTATTTTGGAACTTTTTCCCTCGCAACTTTTCAAGAAAACATTTTACAGAACTTTTATTTTTAGATACTTTTATTTAACTGTTCTGTCGATTTCGCTAAAAAGTCGGTCTAAAAAATCACTTCATGTGTAATTCATGTAAGATAAATTATAGCTCCAATCTAAGTTTATTTTTCATTTTATGGAACTTTTATGAACTTGATTAAATAAAAGTTAAACTTTTACCATAAATCTGGAACTTTATTACAGAAAAGTTCCTGAGAACTTTGTTCCTAAAAAGGCAGAAACTGTTGGAATGGAACTTTTTAAAAAAATCCCATAAAAGATTCAAAATCTGCTGTAACTACAAAATTCAACATGCTTTATGTCTATTTATTGAATTAAATTTAAAAAAAAAATCTGTATCAATCAAAGCAATTGTATTAAAGCAAAAGTTGTATCTCTATTTTTACTTGTTTTGTTTTATTTTTTCTCCTTCCATTGTGTTACATGATTCATAGACCCACTGGAAGGAAAGTGTGAGACGGTCCCTGAATTTTCAATCAGAATTATAGATCAGAGGGAAGAAAGAAAAAACCCTTCAAGAAATGTACAGCTTAGTGCGAACCGAGAAGAATGGCTGTAAGGGATTGAAGTTTCTCAATGCTATGAATGGCATAAAGAAATAGACAAAGAAGAAAAAGCATTTCTAATTGAACACAAAAAATTGTTACAAAACTTCTCACATTGAGTGCTCCATGAATCATCAAAAATAACTAGACAGAAATAATAATTTCAAGAGTAAATAAAAAAAAAAAATAATAATAATAATAAATTTTACAGTTATTTTAGTCACAAAATTCTTTTACATCATAAAAAAAATTATTCTTCATTTATAATATAGCTTATAGTTCATAGTAGGTAAGTCCATATAACAATAAAAATTTATTTGAAGAAAGTCTCAGGCAGAGGTGACTGATTAATTAAATTGATTAAAGAAGAATCATAAAATAAGTCTATTGAACCATAATTGGGCAAAATAAAGTAAAAATAGTAATAAACAATAAATCAAAATAAAATAATTAATTGAATTAAAGAAACTTAACCTCTGTCATAGTCTTAGAATCGCAATGGTGCATTAAAAGCTGCACCGTGAACCATGGCTAAGCCCACCAGTTTGCATGGCTAGGTCTCAGTTCCAGAAATGTCTTTTAGATATTTCAAATTATGGAGAAGTTTAACATTTTGTATTTTTTTTTTTATTTATTTGTAAGAGGAACAATTAAATCAACCCTTATCACAATACTTTGTAAACTTGTAGCCAAAAACTAAGAGAAAAATTGAAATATCAGGCTAATAACATAAAAGTCCTGACGACATGCTGATTTTCTCATATTTTTCCAAAAGTGAAAAATTCAAGCAGGATTCCTGATCAACTGGAATTCATAGCTGCTGGACACCCTGTTTAAGATTTTTTTTTTTTTTTCAAATCTCCTTAAGACATTGTTTTACTGAAATACAGTGGTGAATAATGAAGAAACTGTTATTTTAACTTTAACATAATTTTTTGATTAATATGATACCAGAGATAAGATACCACAAACTCAATTTCATTTACTGTTAACATGAGAATATTTGTAATCGATGTTCTTAATTATGAATGATTCATTAATCCAAATGGATTATTAAAACAAACTAAATAAAACAACCTTAAGCTAATGTTAATCATTTATCCAAAACAAAATACAATCTACGTGTTTTTTTTTATTTATAAAAACATACTAAATAAACCAACTGTGATACTATATATATATAATATAAATATGAGTGAAATGTTTAAAAAAAAAAACAGCTCTCAATTAGATTACTCCATAATTTAAAAGATTCCTTTAAAACTAATCTTTGATTGAATGAAAATATTTTTTGTAATTTATCTTGTTTTTTCAGTTATTATTTATTATTACTTAAAACTACTTTAAATTAAAAAAATAACTTCAAATTTTGAAATATTTTAAGTTTATAACATGAATTTATGATTTGAATTAGGTTGCCCCAGTCAATTTTATAACTACTGCAATAAAATGATGCCTATATATCGAACCTGATGATTCCTTGAAAAAAATTTGATAAATAGAAATATTAAAATTTTTCATTATTTTTTAGGGTTAAAGAAGAATTAAATTTTATGGGTATTACGAATATTTAATTTCAATACCACTCAATTGATTTTATCAAACTTAGAGGATTTAAGTTGTTTGTAATCTTCTCTAAAACTTTTAAACATTCTAAAAACCAAATCACATTTTTTTAAATATTGATATCGTACATGTCATAACTTCATTTTTTTTGCTATCTATATCTTTATTTTAATTTTAAATGCAAATGTCACTTAATGTTAGGAAAGAGATGAAAATAATTTTACTTCTCTCGATAATCCAACTGCTTCTTTTTAAACAAGATCTCCCATGAATTTATCTTATAAAATTATTACCGATTCTTATAAACACAAACTAAGTTCTGTTTCTGATGAGAATTTTATATTCTTTAAAATATGACTATTTTCTTAATAAATATAAATTTTATTTGATCTATACAATTTGTTTTTCTAATCAAAATTCGTGATTTATAAGCTCACTTAAACAGGAATTTGACTGTATATATAAAGCAATTGTACTTACTGTAAACTACGAATTCCAAATCATAGATTATACTCAGAAGATAGTTGACATTAACAAATTAGTATATTTTTATAATAGGTAGAATTAAATAAAAATATTAGCTATTTAATTTTTATTGATAATCACTTTGAAAGGAAATTACCCGAATATAAATATGTATTATGAAACAAGGTGTAACCTGACAATTCAACAGGTAAGATTAATATAAATCTAGATAAAGTCTTATTGATTGTTACATTACTAAACTATTTTATTTTGCAAATGAAATTAAAGCAATTTTATAAAAAAAAATATAAATTAACTAAATTTATAAAAAAAAATCATCTAAAAAAGAAACATAAAGATTAGCTTAAAATTAATTTTACTGCTTTAATTAATGATTGTATGGAAAGTTTTTCAATGCCTCACTCTATTGATATAAGAAACTTTAAATTACTGATAATAATAATAGGGTGAAGTGCTTTTGAATATTACACTTAATATTAGTGAAAGTTAACGATGTCTGACAATAACCAACTTTCACACAAACTTGCTTTGCATGCAGATCATTCTCATATAATAAAATGGCGAATATAAAAACATATATGTAAAGGAAATGAGAACACTCTTACTACCTTAAATATAACTTATACATCCCTACCCATCCCTAAACAAAAAGCATATTTCACATACACATAGAAACGATAACAAATACCTGTAGCTGAAAGTTGAGACGTTGAACTGCTTTTCTTCCCCATTCCAGAAGACGATTTTGGAGCAGGAGATGAGCCTGAAGGAGTTTTCCTCCTGGAGCCACCAGTCTGCTGTCTCCCAAGAGCAGTATCACTCAGGCTACCATCTGAGTAGAAAAAAAAATGATATGCTAGCAGTTATTTTATTTAATTAATTTTGACACAATGTTTAAGTTTTAATCTTTTAATAGATATTATCTTTTAAATATCCACTGTTTCTTCTCATTTTATTCACACCATAAGACTGTATAATAAATATTTCGTAGTGTCTAAAACACTGGCAACAGATATTCTGCAACCAGATAGATATATCCAGAAAAAATGTGCACATTAGAAGGAAAAGGTTCGCTTACAATCCATCACACGAGTTAAGCAAAAAGAAATTAATTTAATAAATATATAACAAAAAGTGAAAAGCATTTTTTAACCTAAAAAGGTTATTATATAACATATACACATAATTGAGAAGATTTGGAATTTCTTTTTAGAAGAGGGAATGAAATTTAACTAGTTTAAATTAAAAAATATTTGGGGGAAGATTTAATGTGATAAGGATATGACATACAATCGGTCCAGACTGATTTTACAACATATAACTACTGTTTCAAGAAACAGTTGGGTTGTATTAGCACAATGCTACGTATTCAATCTAAACACTTGAACAAAACTATTTCACATCATTGCACACTAATAATAGTTTGGTTGCAAATTATTGGTAAAATAGGCTCAACAACAAATAAGTTTTATAAAACGAAGGTATTGTGTACTACTTGTAACATTTCTTCTCAACCAAATCTTAGCTGCTACCTATTCAAGGTCAAACTATATGCATCTTTTTAACAGATTGAGCATTCGCCAAATAGGGTGGTACTTGGAAGTGTGGGACAGCTTTGAAAAAAAACCCAATCTAGCAAATACTAAAAAATAGACCTCAGGCAGAAAAAACTAAAGATTGTTTAAAATTGATTTGTTATCAATAACCTAATACCTAATTCTTGTCCCTACTAATCCAGAGTTCAGGATAAAAAGAATCAATAATTAATGACATACCAGAAACTGTATATAGTACGGTCTATAAGCCAAGCCATTTGCTATAATGGCATAGTCAGTAATCCAGAACTCAGATGTTGTCAGCGATTAGGATGTTTTTATGTCTTAAGCTGTTATGAGTTATTGAAAGGTCGAGCGGAAAACGTTATTAGATACATTATTGAAAAAATAGAATCATTATTAAAAGTAATAATTTAAATTGATTTATTTTTTAATATTTTTCGCTCTAAGTTGTAAAATATTGCAATTTAAGAAAAAGATAAAATAGTATAAAACATCAAAAGATCATTAAAATAATGAAAATATTTCATATTGTATTGTATATTGAAATAAAAAAAAAAAAATTACCTCCACGTTCTTCAGCTGGAACATCTGCATTTGATAAGCTCCTGGAAAATGGGGCTCTCTTATTATTATTTTGAGATTCTCCACCACCTACGAGAGGTGTTTGAACAGTTCCTCCATATTCACTAAAATTTATAAATAAAAAAAGAATAAATAAATATGAAAGGAAGGATACTTTAAAAAAATATTTTAATTGAAACAACCATATATTCTAAAAATAAAACATACAAAATGATTACCTGTAACGACTACCTCTAGGCCTTTCACTCTGTGTGGAAAATGCACTACTAGTAATACTTGCTACAGACTCCATATCACTATCACAAGGATCACCAAGTTCTTTATCAGGAGGCGATCGATGCCTTACGTCCTGACTAAGATCACTATCTGATAAACCAGTTATACCATGACGACTCCATCCTGTACAAATAAACATAATATTATTATAATTATTCTAAAATAGACAAGATTTTATAGCGTTAGGTTCAATTTGAGATTATTAAAAATATAAAATAGAACCTTAAATAAACTTTTAGATAGTTATAAAATATTGGCTTGGAATAATGATAGCACAAATCTGATAGGAGTGGAAAGATAATTAAAAAAAATAAAATTCAGTAAATTTTAAATGAACATTAATTGATTCACAGGCGACAATATATCTACTATAGACATAATATAACACAAATACATCAATACAATGCACCAAAACACTATGGAGAATTATTGTTTCATCCACTATCCTTTATTTTCTTTATTTGTGATGAGTTGATCATCAAAAAGATTCAATTTCTACTGTAGCTGACTTTATTTAATGCGCCTACATTCAAGATCCACACCACATCCATAGTGCATCTTGCTGAATAAGAAAAGATACAAACAAATAAATTAATAACAATTTGAAACAAAACTTCTATAACCCATGTATTAGTCAAGTGGTATTATATTCTTGATATCTAACAAAGCCTCGTAAATGAAATGTATCCATACTTATTGCCTGCAGAAAATTAAAACATTTTAAAAGTAGAGTTGAAGTTATATTTCATAGCAACAGGCATCAAATTCTTTTTTAAATATATATAATGGATGTAATATGCAATATATCTTTCATATGTAACAAGGACAATGCGCCCTTCCTCCCTCTCCAACCTCTACTATTCTGAGATCAAGAAAACACATAATTATTATATTTCTTAAAATCATATTTGAGAGCTCTAATATCTAGGCTATATACATGAAAAACTAATCACATATGATTCTTTATTCCGAGAGAAATAAACAAGATATTAAAAATTATAAAATAATTACCATCATCCATAAAACTAGCTTTTAAAAATATATTTTTTGATGTTTCTGCTCTAAATTTGGGAAGTTTTTAAATAAGTTAGAAGATCATTGGAAAACTCCAGACACAAAGCCTCGAGTCTCTAAAATGCTGATAAAACTCTAACCCATTAATGTTTCACCAATCCAGGCATGATCAGGAAATAAACATAAAAAATCAAATATGCAAACTAAATAAAACAGAGGTAGTACATTCCCGACTCATTGTTATAACACCTAGAAACAAACTCTACATAAACATACCCAAGGCTTTGCAATGATTTAAAAAAAAAAATATTTATAAATATATTTTAATCTAAAATATATACCTCTATGTTGAACATTCCTTGGTCTTTGTTTAATCGTATGTGGCCGATCCTCTACATCCTTTAAAAACAGAATAGAAAATTGAATCAGCTAAATATTTAGCAGTATTAATACATTTTAAAATTAGTTAGAAAAATTTTAACCAAAGATTTTGTTAGATATTTAATAATAAAAAAAATAAAGCTATTCAGCCAAAATAATAGATCAAATTAACAATTTTAATAAATATTAGTTACTATTTCCTAAAAAATAATATAAATTAATTAATAAAAATAATACTGATAAGTATCAATGGTTGCTGCTTAAATAACAATAGATTAATAATATATTAATTAATTAATGTATTAAAGAACTGTAAATCATTGCAAGAGATACTGATAGTGGATCATATATGTATAAAAACATATTAAAAAATGAAGATTGACAAAAATTGTATGTTATAAGCGGTGTTCATTATATCATTTGTAGTCAATATATTATCATAGAAAGAACAAAATCGTGAGGTACTGCAGCTCCAAATAGTTAAATTAAGGGGCTCCTATTTTTTGTTTACTTTATATATAGCACTTGATTAATTAACGCTTCTTCTTCTTCTTTTGCATCACCATGTAGTGCCTTTCAGCGTAGGGGAGCGTCTAACCAGGATTGCCAATTTTCCCTGCTTCTTGCAAGATTTCTGACTTGGCGTATAAATCGCAATGTTCCAATATCATTCATGAGACTACATGCATTATTTCCTGATTCAGTTTGAAAAATATTAAACAGAAAAATGATTTTTTTTCCAAGACTTTAAAGTTTGGAAAATGGAGAACTGATCAGAATTACAAATATTAGCCTTTATATTCACTCCTTTTTGTGTTATAACTGAGAACTTATAGTTCAAAGGATCTCAGAATATGTTCCTCATGACCAATTTGTACATTATAAATGGTTTCCTATTCATAACACCTATGACATTTCACGGGACTGGGACTTCCTAAGTTAAATCGGTTGTTCCTTATACCTGTTGTCATTATAATCAATTTTGAATGTAGTATGGATTCATATTTCACTAAGCATGATATGAAAAGAAAATGGTCCATTAAAAAAATAGGACAGAATAAAATAATTTAAAAATTATTATTTCTGTTACTACTATCAAATTTTAAATCAATATGAATCTAAAGAAACCTTATTTTCAAAAGTATGTAATGGTTTAAATTAAATAGATTTGTATTAAAATATTCATCACTTACATAAGAGACTCTGTCTCTGTACGTCGGATGATGTGTGGGATGAGGAGGAATTTGAGGAAGCTGTCGTTTCTTAGGAGAAGTAATTGGGGTTGCTGTAGCAGACCTAGAAGTGAATCTAGGTACATATGCGTGAGATGGAAGAACTGGTCTCCTATAACTAAAAAAGAACAAATTATTAAAAAATGTTTACCTTGTACTGAAAATTAACACTTAACACCGCTTTATAATTGAAGTCATATCATGGACATCTATTATTTTCAGAAAGTGGACAAAAAGTCAATTTTTTATTCTATAGGTTCAACCACAGGCGGATCTGCAGGAGGAGGAGGGGGGCTTTCAGGCTAAAGCCCCCTCCAAAATGGTAACATATAATCATGTTTTATAGAAAAAAATATTAAAAACTATCTCTTAAAGTATTATTGTTCGTGTGATTACAATTAATAGAACTTCAAGAATCACTTAAACACTATTTCATTTAGATAGTTAATTTCTTTCCTTTTTTTTTCAAATTAATTATCGTTATATATATATGTGAAAAAAAAAGCTTTCGGGCTGAAGCCCCTCTCCCAAAATTAAATCCTGGATCACTCTTAAAACTCTTTCTGATGGTTTTAATTAAGAATGTTTAAGTTGAATAGTGAAAAAATAAAAAACAGAACTAGATTGAATTGAAGCTATGTTATAAAAATTGTTTATTCTCTACTTATTAGAAATGACAGATGTCTTGTTCACCTTTGATATGAGACTACTTATTTGTTTAAATTGAAAAGGAAAAAAAAATTAATATAAATTTGATAAAACTTTTACTGAGATTGAGGACCTGAAAATTGTGTTTTAAACATTCATAATAACTGGATAAATGCAAAGAAAAAAATAGAATGAGTGTTTTCTTGCTGTATATTTATAAAAATATATAACAGTTATTATGTCTGTTATAAACTATTGGCTGTTTCTACATAAGTGATAATAACTATTACAAAATAAATTGGAATATTGATTTAAAAATGTTCATTTACTGTAAAATAAATGAATGATTTTAAAGCAATTTGTATGATTTAAATGAAATGAGAAGCATAAAAGTTATGGAAGAACCAAATCAAAATAGCTTCAATTAATATTTCAACATCTTCTACATAATAAAAAAAAATGAAATTGCAAGATTTTTAATAGACAAGACTGATCACATAGTTTTCAGTAGCCAAAAAAAAAAAAAAAAAAAATTGTATTACCAACATTTTATTATTTGTTATGAAGAATAAATTTTATATTTCAGGCTATTGATCATACCTAAAGCCTTGGGTATTACAAAAAGAATGAAATGAAAGGAATTTTGATTAATTTGTAATAACATTTGGGAAATTCTTTTGAAAAGGTGAAAAAAATTAATAGAAAAACGACATCATGTCAGAATGTGTTGGAATAGGAGTGTGAAAATCATTAGGTTTTCTTAATGTATGGTAAAATTTATATCACTTCTTTCTCTGAAGTGACACAATATTAACATTGAGGTGACAAAAAATTACTTTTGAATGCTATTTATATACTATAAAAAAAAAAAATGAGAATAAAACCTACATTATATTAAAAACAACTAAATTTTACACTGCTATAATGAATTTAATCAATATAATAAAAATGTGTTAAATCAAAAATATAAAGTGCCATTTCCGGTTAGCCGATTTTGATGAAAAAAGTTGCTGTAACATCCCAGGCATATAAAATCCTTAAATATCTAATTTTACTTTCGAACGACTTTTTGTTTTTTGAGGTAGACTGTACAAATACCATTTTGTGGGACTTAGTCATTTGAACTCAGGGGACATCAAAATGTGTATTTCTGTTGAAAACTGAGATTAGAAAATTTTCAATATCACAATACTTTCCTTTACTATATATTTATAGATAGGTAAGTGGAAGTAAAAAGAGTACAGAAACAATTAACCTGTATTCAGGAGGTGAGAGGCTTCTATGAGGACTTTTAGACCTGGATCTTGTATGTACACTAGGTGAGTCGGTGGGGGCAGCAGAATGAGACCTTTGGTTCACAGGTATCTATGAAATAAATAAATTAAAAATTATTTTATTTATAAAGTAGTACTTATACCATAATAATTTCATAATAATAACAGCAGAACATGAAAATTAAAAAAAATATTTATAATAAATGCAGACATTTATTATAAATGTACCTGTACCACTTCAAATTCAGAATCATTAGTAATCCCTCCTTGTCATAAAAGACATTTTCTTTTAATATCCCTTACATAGGCCTTACGTTCAATAGGAGAATGACATGGGGCCCACATGTGAAGAAAAAACGAATCACATTAAATCTAAGACTAAAAATGTTACATTCACTGTTAAGACGACATTCCAAATTAAAAGCAAGACAGAAACTAAGTATTTACACGTATCTTTTAAAACCTCTTTGGACATATGGACTACAAATACATGGAATTGCAAAACCAACTCACATAAAAAAACTTCAAACTTTTCAGTCTAAGATACTACGACTAATCACTCAAGCACCATGGTACATAAACAATCACACTTTACACACCGACCTACACGTTCCGACAGTCAATGAACACATATGAACGTACTACAAATGATTTCATAACATGTTAAACGGGCACTCCAACCAGCTGGTAAAAGAAATGGCCACAACTAGTATGCCCGAGAACTCCAGAAGACGACTGAAAAGGATCTGGATGAGGGATCTGCTTAAATAATGTTTTAGTAAATAAAAGCCATGAAGGGATACCGCTGGGTACTGGTATTCCTCATGCCTATTAAGTCTTTTATTTATATTATTTATTTATTTATTTATTTTTTCTCTCATTACTACGCCAGCACATCTGCTGATTGTCGATAATAATTGACAGGTGCGGATAAATATATGTAAGTGCAAAAAAAAAAAATATCCCTTACTGCTATGAAAGCAGGCCTAAAAAGTGGGCCAAAAATTTGCATTCATTAAATAGTTATACATCATTTTCTGTATCATTTTGACAGATATTTTGACAATCACTAAGAAAAAATAATGAAATAACATGGCAGAATAACTGAATACATTAACTAAATCTTTTTATTTCATACAATGTATTTGTATAAAAGATTTCTAAGGTATTATAGAACATGTACTTTTATAGTACTCAAGATATAAAGGTTAGTTAAATGAATAGAAAATTGTAGCTTTAAAAAAACCAAAAAAAAAAAAACCTGTACCACTACAACCTATGAAGGGTCTTGGGTTCAGTACTATTTAGGGAAAGTAGTATTTCAAGGCCTACGATTGTGCATGGATAGAATCGGGCCAAGATCACACTCAATCGCTAGGCTTTCCTCCTTACTTAATCAATTATTTAATTAAGGGTACCCACTTTACAGAGGCTGGGTGTCCCCCAGGAGGGTCTACTTACCCCAGGTTCGCACCATGGCCAATGAAACAGAATAAACAATTTTCTGCCATGAGCCGGGATTCGTACCTGGGACCTTGAGCACTGGAAACTTAGTGCCCTACCACTGAGCTACCCCGCTCCCTCAGAATGTGTGAATACTGTTCCAAAATGGCCTAGAAATAGCCAGAACATGGATTTGATCTTAAAAATCCATCAGAATAATATGTGTTAAATAATACAATAAAAATATAAATATAATAATAAAGTAAATATAATATAGAGAAGAATATATCACCTGTGATTTTACCTTTCTATGGGGTTCAGCAATAGGCGCACCAAATTGTATCATCATGCTTTTCCTACCTTGTGGAGACATATCTCTCCTAGACTTCCTCTTTTCACTCATTTCTATATCAGGTGGAGGGCTAAAAAAACAAAAAAAAAAAAAAACTTTAGTCAACATTTTTTTGAATAAATAAATCATTCAATAAGTTAATTGTCTTGAAAAGGGAAAAAATGTCTCAAAGATGAACATAGCATGTCCCCAATGTTTGCAAATCTTGCTTTACATTAAATAGATGAAAAAAATAAAGTTCATGTCTTATTTCAGTTATCTAACAATTATACTTCATTCATTCTCTTAAAGTTCATAAATATAAAATACAAAAACTATGATTTTCTGTTTTTTTAAGTGAGTGAAAAAGAAGGTTCCCCACAGGTGCCAGCAAGACCAACATACATCCATCCACTAAATCCCAATAATATCAGTAATAATATAATAATAATATCCACAAAATCTATAATATTAGACCAAACTTAATGTTTCCATGTATGCTTAAGTCTATCCTTGAGATCTTGAGATGTTAGGCACCATTCGCTCAGGACCGATACCTTTTCGAAGGTTCATACATCATCGATAACAGGGGTCTCCAAACTTTATGGCCCACGGGCCACGTTTAGTCCTTGATAGGTTCTGCGGGCCATTGATATCCCTACAAAAGCCCAGCGGGCCATGGATTGTGATGGAAAAAAAAAGCTTGTTCAATAAATGACACTTGAGCTGTGAAATGAACTTTCCAAGAGAACAAAAAAACATGCAATAAATAAATTTGTAGTAACCTTGTGTGTGAGTAATTTAATAAATTTCACATTTTTTAAATAGTTTTCCATGTAACCAAAGAATCTTTCATAGGCCGGATTGAAATCGCTTGCCTGATCCGGCCCATGGGCCATAGTTTGGAGATCTGATCTGTAAGATGGACTGAACATACTAATTTTAATTTATGCCAGTTAAAGATTAAAGATTAAAAATAAGGAATTCCTTCTGAAATATACAGGAAGTATTAACTAAATATTTAAAAAGTTAATTAATAGGAGACTAATTTCTGTGGACCACCATATATCACTGTGAATAAATATTGACAAAAACTCTATGCCTGACTGAATACATTATATTTTATAATGTTTGTTCACTAAATCTAACGACAAACAAAATCTTAATTTTAATTTGACATCAAATTTATGCAAATTTTTAATAAATGATAACATTAATGGTGTTTAAAATGATTAATACTATAATTATAAAATTAAATCAAATATAAGAATGAACCTGTTTGAACTGCCAACTGATGAGATGGAAGCACCGTCTGCGACCCTTCGTTCTCTTGAATCATCAAGATCTGAAGGATCTGAGTCTGATAATCGTGATGTCGTTGAAGGAGAAAGATGTTCTGTAGGCGTTACTACAACATCTAGATCTCGTTCAATATCCATAGTCTAGAAAATAATGGAAAGTAAGTAATTTAAAGACTGGATTATCTATATTTATTAATTATACTGCAAACAGATAAGAAATATACCAACAATGTGATTAAAAAGTGGAAACAGTTGAAAATATACTGTTCTGATTCTGATTCTGAAGCTGATTTAAAAATGTATATTCACTATTACTTGAATAAACAAGTTATCTAGTAATCTATTAATGTGCTATTTATAAGGACTTAACTTCTTCAAAATTTCTTACAATATATGAAATAAATTATTTATTATAAACAATTATTAATTATAATTTGATAATTATTAAAGGACAAAATTAATTTTTCAAATCCTTAGGAACACATTATGCAAAATGTAACATAAGAGAGATCCCAGCAAATTTTGAATTGTTTTTATATGCTGTAAAGCCCATTTATATTAATTTAACACTTTTCATAATATTTAAGGAGTATAAAACTAGCTGTAAATTTATCTACTTATTAAAAAAAAATTTGAATTTTATAAAAATTATACTCAGATAAAACTAAATTTTCCTCATTGCCCAATAAATCTACCAGGAAAGAAAACAAATAAATTATATGCTCTTTTGATACTTTATGTTAATATTAAATTTTAGTTTTCAGAAATATCCCAAGTATATATTTTTCACTAGACAATATTGAAGGCTAGAGTTGAAAGATTTTTCAAAATATTTCTCAGATTTGTGGTTTCTGAATATTAAATAACATAGCAAACAATTTCATTCCATTTTTTTCAGCACATTCTTACTTTATTTCGAAGAAAAAAGAATGTAAGAACTTACATGGGGAGCAATAATTTCATCGTGTGCACTCAAATGAAACCATTCAGGTTCATTTTCTAGCAGCGCCACACCTAACTCTATTAAAACCTGAAATAAAATATAAATTTTAAAAGCTCATATAAATGCCGATGAATTTAATAAATATTAAAAAAATATTTTTTATATAAATAACGTACTTTCTATTTATGATAAGTCAATTATCATTAGATTAGAAATTAATTAGTATAAGAAAGAGAATATTAAATAAATGTTAAAAGAATCACTACATGGGGATATTTACCTCACCAAGAAAATCATTAGCGCCATAGCGAACATAATCCCAAACTGTGATTTCTACAACCCTCAACTTGAGGTCCGCACGCCTTACAGAAGAATAGACAAAGCTTTGATTCCATTTTGGGTCATTTGTGTTAGCTAATGTCTTGGTTCTCCTTTTGGATTTTTCACTGAACAAAAAATTTAAACCTGTATTACAATGTTTATTATTTGCTTCAATCGCACAATTAGATGCTTTTAAAAAGTTGATAAAAATTCATTTTCTATAGAATTAAAAAAATAATGTTAAGGAAATTGGGAAAATGCAATAAATACAGATGGATTGGATTTGTATATATTATTAACATTTTCCTTTTTCTCAAAATGAAAGTTAATTTTAAATATAAAACTACTTAAACACTGTTTATGAAGGATATTCCAGCAGACATGGGCCACCTCCCTTATTAATTTTCTTAGTTTTGAGAATTTCAAAATGAATATTTTCTTATTTCTCTTGATTATATGTCCATAATTTGTTAAGACTATGATTAAAAATAAAAAAATCTAAAAATGAGTTAAAAATTACTCGAATTACTGATAAAAAGATTAAATAAATAAAACATAGTCACACTTAAGTCTCAGTCAAATGTTCTAGATTGTTAAATTCTAAATTACAGGGAATGTGAAAGCTTGAGGCAAGATCCCGACACATTTTTTAAAACTAAAGCCTTTATTGACAACATGAACGGCTGTATAGTTTGTGATAGTTGATGAAATAATTCCATGATTTTTTATACATTAATGTTCCAGAGATCTTTAGAGCTAGACACTGCAAGTACCTAATTCTGCCCAGCAAATAACATTAGATTTGGGGGAAAAAAAAGAAGTTTATTCTTCCTTTGATTATTATCTGATATTACGGTATTATTAACAGGACAATAATGTTGAAAATTGCTAGGCATGGTGGAGAAACAATACTAGTTTGTCACTTTTACAATAAAACTTTCAAATTTTAATCTTTGTTTTTCCTCCCTATGTCCAATAAATTTGACAATATTGAAAAAAATATTGCTTTTATTGACATATAAAAGATGTGTGACCTTTACACAATTCATATTATTGTGGTGATTAAAAACGGCCATGACACTGAAAGGTAAATGCACAGAGAGCTGGACAAGACGTGGAAGAGATAATTGTGTTAGGTCTGATCAGGGTACACTTTTATTAGATGCAATTGAGTAACGTCTGTGGACAATATAGCTAATAAGGGCATCAAACTATTTTTATTTTAAATTTATTTTGATTTACATTCAACCAACTCTTGTTAGTTTGGATACAGAGTGGAACAGCTCGCTTGAATTTTACTAAGTTGGTTTTTTAATAAATAATTTTTTTTTGTTTTAGATATTAATATAAAATATATCAATTTGATGTAAGGATCTTGATCACAATAGATTGTAGATAATATTTATGATAATGTGTAAATTGAGAAATAGAGTATCCTAGGACATGATCTTCAATTTACACCATAAGCAAAGTTGATATTGAGAGAGAGAATAAATAAAGAGTATTAAGTTGGTAAGTTAATATAGTGAAAAGAAACCAAACAATGCCATAGTACCAATCCATGTATATTTTTTAAATAGACATATCATTTTCCATAAATAATATTTGCAGCATATCTAACCTGATTTTATAAAATACATAATAAACTAAATACTAACCTCCTATCAGGAAGCAAAAATAATTTGGCATAAGGATTTCTTGGTTGTCCATTACTTCTAGGTATAAGACCTGCTGCACAGACTAAAGTAACTACCAGTTGCAAGGCACCAGAATCAAACCACAGTTTCACCTTAAAGAAAATTAAAAATAAATAAGAAGAAATTAAGAACTGTTTCCTCTGATTTCATATAACTTAAAACAAAAGTAATTTGAGATTTTAAATATCCTCATTAAATCTAAGAAATTATTAATAAATTCTATAGGTAATTTTTTATATATTGATTCAAGTATAAATATTAAAATAAAAGTTATGTTTACCTGTATTCTGCCTCCTACATTCGAATTAGGAGAATGACGAGGCCTTATTCTTTGACTATGCCCATGGATATCTGGGGAACCAGGTGAAGTAACAAGTACACTAGGTTTGTCTTTACGGACATCATAAACATCTAGAAATAAAATTTTTAATTAACTGATAAAAAAATTTGTAAAACATACTTGGAAAAGTAAAAACGGAAGTATTGCTTTAGAAATATAGTATGTAATTTAAATTTATCTTGATAAGATTAATTTTTTTCTTACAATAAATCACTCTTCAAAGCAGAGCACTATACACCTACCCCGCTGGTTGAATCTATTTCTTTATAATAAGCCAATAAAAGACAGTTTCGCAGTATGACTAAAATATAGTCAGGTTCAGGAAGGGAAACAATAATCATTAAATGAACTGGAACAGCGACAAAGAGTTGTATATGAGCCTAAATGCATTATGGAGCAGACTTGATAGTATCCCGATACAATTCTTTACAATTCCTGAGCCTCACTTGTTACCTCGAATAGAATTAATTCAACTACTGGTTTTTCGATGAGGAAAGTCTATGTCTCTATAACAAATCTAGCTAAACTATTGCTCTATGATTATAATGCCATCAATTATTTCAAGTGATTGTTAACTTGTTGAGGAAAGTATTATAATTGGCTACAATTTTCCATGTGCAGTTTTCAACAGATCGTTTGGTTCCAGCATCCTCTGTGTTCTAGAAACACCTTTTTATTTAATTTAACTTTGGTAAATTGACAATGACTTAGCTCTTAACAATTGCAGCACGGATTTTAACTCTAAAGGCTTCTATGCACAGAATGCGTTATGTCAGATGATACAATATAGCTTCGTCGCTATCGCAGTGGATTATCTTGCTCTGTTTGACTGTGACAGTGCAATATAATGTAACGTAACTATATTTGCCATACCACCGCTGAAGGGAAGATCATATTGCCGAGATATATTGTATTCTTTATGTATGAGCCTTTCTTGTTGACTGGTAAAGATTAGTTATAATAAAGATAGACTATAAGGCAATGATCAACATATTCTTTCCTCACACGACCAATTTCATTATAGTCCATATAATATATAAACTGCCAGTAAGTAATATGCAGTTTGAACTTGGAAAATTATGGAACATGATTGGAGCAATGGTAAAACCTCTTCAGGAAAACTTAAATAGAAATGGTTAATTGGAGAAGTGAGAAGAGCTAATGCCCAAAAGAAAAATATAAAAGTCAGAGGATTCTTTGGATAAGATACAAATAAGTCACTGCTTTCTTGGAATACTATCAAATATATTTGCTAAATGGTGATCTAATGACCTTTGTTCTTATAATGAGAAGTACAAAGAAGAGAAGTCTGAATATAAAAATTGCATGTGTTATAAACAATTACAGAACAGAAAATAATTGTAGCCGAGTCAAACAGTCATAAAAATAGCAACAGATTTGGTGGATCATATCAAATTCTATAGAAAAAATTATTTTCACAATTAAGAGAGTATTTTGTCAATACATCACTTAATATATACATGGTTCTTATGCTTCCAGAAACTAAGAAGCATCTAGAACTGGCATGTTATGTTGTGCGGATAAAGGTATACAATATACTAAACACAAATAGATTATGGACTGTAAAAAATGTGGCCAGTCTCTTAAAATCTTCAGTTGACTGTTGATAACTTGAAGTTTTTCCAGGTCTCTTGAAATTTGAAGTTGTAGCAACAGCATCTTGCCTGCCAAAACTTTTCAACTGAAGTCAGGGCACTCTAAATAATTTTAAGACCTCCAATTCCGAGATTGGTTTGAATATATATATGGCTCTGATTTTTTAAAATAAACTAAATGGAAATGGAATAACTGAATTTTAAATTTCCTTTCATACAGTGTTATATTTAAAGGTATATATTTGTTATTTTTGAATCTGTGAAATTGAAATGAAGTCTACAAATAACAAGCATATTTTTAATTAGTGATAAAGACTTATTATTCAAACTGTGAAGACTTATACTACCATCTAAAAATATATGTTGGGGGTAAGTTTCCTTTACTTGAGGAGTATTTGCTTAAGAAGATTAATCAGTTTAGAAAACAAAACATTCCAAGGGACAGTTTTATATTATAAGAAAAAATCGGATTGATGAATTAAAATTAATTAATGACTTAAAATCAAAATGAATCAATTTTTGAAAGGCTACACCCATAAGTGTAAAATCATTTGAATTAACTTGATGAAACCAATCTTAGTATAAAAATTAGCAAATCCACATTGTTAAAATCACAGATTTATATTCAAAATTAAAATCTTCATCTCTATGTTTTTCATATGTGTGTGTACTATATCTGGTTATTATTTTTTACATTTCAAAATATAGGTCACATATAATCAAACTCATTTATTTTATTTTATTCTCCCATCCTCTTGATTATTTGAACTTGTTCTCTTTTGAACTCATGGTAGTTTCATATTTTCATATTTCTGGTATCCTGAGTATCTAAATATCGAGAGTCGACTGTACTTCATCACTCAACTACGAACATACATTACCAGAAACACACAAACATAAACACTAAATTCATTACTATGGACTTAAATATAATGGTCTACAGGAGTAATATATATATATAAAACAAATACAGTTAATGATATTTAAACTAATGGAAATACATATAGTACAAATTAATTATTACAAAGGAGTACAGGTTATTAAAACTAAAAGGAAATATATGCTCTGTTGGTAAGAGAGAATGAAGTTCAAAGTCTTATTTAATACAGTCATGCAATAAAACAACAGATGAAACTAAAAGAAATTCGATCTGAAAATGAAGATATATTTATTCATGAAATGGAATAAAATCTCCTAGAAAGGTAGCCAGCTTGTCTAAAACAAAAAAACAATTTAGTTTAAGGGAGTATTTGAAGATAAAAGCAGAGAGAAACCTTAAAAGTAAATAAAACCTGTAACAGTAAAAAATATTAGAAGTTATTAGAACACCTGCCTATTTAATTTAATTTAGACTTCATAATTTTAAATTGTTGAAAAGTTTTATTAGAATGGTAATTATTTATAACAGTTGTGATTTAGATAACAAAAAGGTAAGCTAACAATTATTTTGAATTAACATTAATATTTACAATAAAAATTAACTTGATATGAATCTAAATACAAATTTATTTTAATAACTCACTTTGTAAAATATATAAATGATTTGAAGTTTTTATAACAAAACTTTGAAAAGGTGTCCATTAACTGTATTTTCTGTAAGATGATTTCATCGAGGAAAAAAAAAAAAAAAAAAAAAAGAAGCAAAGTAGTTAAGATATACTTAAAAGATTCCAAATACTTAAAGAAGTAGTTAAAAATATTAAAGATTAATAAAAAAAAAAAAAGAAAAGAAAATACATATGAGAAACAAGTTATTACAATAAAACCAAAAATATTAACACTACTATTACCTTAAGAAGTTCATACACAGAATAAAAGCAGTCTATATAAAATACACTACAAAAATTGGATTTTGAATAGTCTAATCATAGTAAAATAAAAGCAACTATAACCAAATATTTACTAAGCATGAAGTATATTATTTAGAATAAATAAATAATAAACTTTATAAGATATAAATTAAAATTTTTGTTTTAATGCTAACTTAAACTTGAACATATTAATCTAAAAAAAGCATAAAAGATGACTAAAAAAGAAATCAAATATATGAAATTAGATCAAATCTTGCTTGAGACTTTCATTTAACCTCATAGTACAAATGTTTTAAAATGAACATGTTAAAAAAAAAAAAATCAATTATAAATATAATTAATTTATGTGCTTTAAATGATGTTATTTTTAATATAAAAACATATTTAAGACAAAAAGTACAATCATGGGCAATATTCCTATCAAAATGATGCTTAGGTTGACATTTGTAATAAATAAACAGCCATCCATATTTTAATTCAACATCCAGTAAAAAGAAGACTATTTTGTTTAAAATCTTAGAAATATGAATCATAAAGAAAGGAATATCAGGAAACTGGAGAATCGAGGAGAAAAGCAGTAAAAAAATAATAAAAAAATTGGAATATTAAGCCGGTGAAGCATTGAGTCATGTTCATGTTGGTAATTCTTTTTTACAATAGTGATTTTGATGACAAAGAAGTAAACTAACATTAAAGTATTTTGAATTAACATTAACATTGGCGTTACTAAGTAACTCAAGTAAATTTTTTAGCCTGCAGTATTGAGTCATTCTCAAGGGATAGTTACAAACTAATGTAAAATTGATAAACCTACTTCCTGCCTTCCTAAAAAAAGTAACAAAAATAAAATAGCCGGAGAGATGGTGATGAACTGTTCAGAACAAAGGACAGGAACAAACAACAGAAATAAAAGCAACTAAGGTAGACGTTCTTGACATAATAGAGGCAAAGGAAAAATAAAATGGATGGAGTGGATTAATAAATTCAACTATATTCATGTATTAGAAAAAGTAAGGTAGTTTTATTTGAACTTGATGACTTCAACAAAAACAATGTTCGTGTGCTATAAAAACAACATTTGGTGTGCAGAGGTAATAGGGTGGTTAACCGATGATACAGTGAAGCAGTTATATTATGTTTTATTATTATAGAAGTTAATATAAGAAGTTTAGCTGATTTTCAAATATTACATGGTGGCAGCGGCAGCATACAGAGCAACAATACCTAAATTAGAAGAAACTCTATTCAAATTAATAGTAGAAATGGAGGAACTAAATCAAGTGTTTTAAAAACAAGAATCGAGGTTAGAATTGAGTCCTATATGCTTGAGTCGTGAAGGCTCGGCTCTTGAGTCTTTAGACTTTGAACCTTCAGATTCGAGGCTCGAAGAATTTATTTTTAAAAACTTAAATTATTGTACCTTTGTACATTTTAATAAAAAAATTATATATTAGCGTGAAGTAAAATGTAAATATACATCTGAAATATAATGTGAATAAATAGATAAGAAAAAAGAAGTAATCTTCTGACCGAGCTCTTTTACAACATTATCTACACCAAATACCACCAGAAGGAAAATTTCAATTCTCAACCCAACAAAACAACTAAAACATGAGAAAGAGAGTGAGTTCAAGATTTAAAAAAAAATATGGAACCATTCTGAGAGGAGGAACAATTATCAAAAGAGTAACAAAAGAGAATATCTATGAGATATTGTGATAAGAAATTATAAGAACCAAATGGATTCATCTTGTACCCTGTCAAGGTTGATTTTTTTCCAACAATTTATCTTTGAAAGAAAGTGCTATACATATAGAAAACAGAGCCACGACAATGAGAAAGAAGTCGAGAGTTGAGGCTGTGAGTGCTAAGACTTTGTTGGATAACTCCCTATTCAACAACCAAACCTATTCTAGTTTCATTCTAGCATCGAGTTTCATTCTGTGGGTCCGCCACAAAATAAAAGTCAATACCTCTCAGGCCGGATTCGAACCGGTGTGGCTAGGCACGAGGGATGCTAGAACAGACAACACTCCAACACTCGGCAATCACAACCTCTAGCAGCACTGGTTTGGAGGAGGGATTAAGATTTATTTTATGGTGGACCCATGAATGAATTTCAACCTTAGAATAATCCCTCCTAATGACAGAATTGGGCAGATTGGGAGAAAAAAAGCATCAAAAGAGCTCAACCTTTGAGAGAAGAAAGGCTTAGAACATATCATCGATACAAATGCTAAATATCGAATATGAAAATATGAAACATGTTCAATCCGCCATTATAACAATTGTAATTGTATTTAAATATTTAAAAAGAATGAATACAAAATCCTTAAACATTCATAAAATCATATATTAGTGTGGAAATTAAAACATCCTCGTTGTTTGGGCTGAATTGATAATGATATCAGAGTAGTGATTTTCATATTTTATTTTATTTTTATTTTTGATAATTAGCATTTGTATTGACGATATGTTTGTAAATATTATTATAAAAACAAATAATGGAGAGAGGTTATAGAGAGATTAACCAATGATGGAGTGATATTATATTGTGTTTTACAGTAAGCACTAAAGAATGAGTAATATACAGAAGTTAATATAAAAAGTATTGCTTGTTTATTATAATTATCAGATTTAGAGTAATAACTGCTAATTTATGATGACTTTTGTTGTATAACTATCTTAAATTATAGAAGGAATATTTCTATCTTAATTCCAATATTACAATATTTAGCTATAAATAAAATTTGGGCTACGAATACAGAAATGCATATTTAAGTATTACTATAATGAAGATGATGGTTTAAATTTAAAAAAAAAAGAATTATTGTACACACACACAAAAGAAGGATTCATCAGTTATTAAACCATTAGATAATAAGATCCATGCTCCACAAATAATTAATTTACTTACCCTTATGACTCTGTACTGGAGGATATGGAAGGCGTGGGTGGCGATTAGTTTGGTAACGGCAAACTACAAGCTCAACTTGAGGTTCATGCTTGCTTTCAGCAATAATATCATAAACTTCTTGAAAACTTTTTCCTTTTAACGATCGCCCATTCCATTCAAGAACTTCATCGCCTGAAAATATAGATAAAACTCTCATTAACTGTTGTTAATTGATTAAATAATGATATTAATATAGAAGCAATCTAGGCCAATCTTAATGTTTTATCAAACCAGTAGTCAATAATCTTTTTGATACCAATACTTATAGATCAATAATAACTAACAATTTAGACAGCCTTTGGGTGTGAGAAATTATCATTGAATGGGATTTGCACCCACAACTAAGCCACTAGCACTAGTTTAAGAATATCAACCTCACTAACATCAAAGTAAGTGATGAACAGGTTTTGCATGGTTGCAAAATGTTTTATTTGATTCTACAAGGTGGTTTCCATCATTTTAATGAAAAATTATTGTCCAAGAAAATAAAAAAGAAATTTTATGTTTCTTGAAATATTGTCTTTAGAAATAAATAAAACTGCAGTTTATTTGTAATAATTTCATAATTCCACTGCTACAACTACCAGCTAAAGCCCATTCTTAGATATTAGGCCACTTGGTAAGGCAATGAAAAGTAAAGACAAATTTTCATAAATTCTGGGCTCTGATTCTGTTGAGTTTGGTCTATGACTGAACAATCACATAGTTGATTAGCATCCGTAATCCAGCGAAAACATAGTGGACATTCATAAAAATACAGCATATGGTTGGAAGGGGGTTCTACTGGCTACAAGTGGGACACTGGGATTAATGGGAGTGACCAATGTCTCTTATTTCTCACCAGCAGCTGCCTTTGAAATATGCCCTTCATTTCATCTGTTGACAGCTGACTTGATTAGTGCCTTGGATATATAAATGTAGATAAGTGGGTCAACTAGGTGGAGGGCTAGAATTGTTCCTGTCTTGGCTAGTTTATCGACTTCCTTGTTTCTATGTCTGTTAAAACAATGGATATCCACATGACATCAATCATTTATCATCCATTTCCAATTTCCTGGACTTTTCAGTTTTATTCTACATTCAACCGTCCTCTGGCAGTCTGGATGTTGCATGCAGGGTTGCATAAATCAGCTTGAGTCGACCAAAAATATAGCTTTTGAAGCAGAGACGATCTTTTCAAGTTTAGCTGCAGTGGCATCAAATATACTTATTCAGCTTCTCCATTATAGTTAAGAAATGTGCCTACTTTATTCTTAAGTAAGAGAAAAATATTTTACAAGATTACCGTTCACTGTGAAAAGTGAAGACAATACATTGGTCTAATTAATAACTTAATGTCCAGAAAAATACCAAATTATTATTAACTATCAGGAAAAAAAAATCAAGAGGAACATTTCTAGAGAAAAATAGTTGAACCGCAACAAAAAAGACAAGTTTTTGGCATAATTATTATCACTTCATCTAACAGTCTAAGTAAGGTTTCCTCAGAAAGTGTCTATAATAATTATTTATAACCAAGATTATAATAAAATATTTTAACAACTGGTTAAAAGATAACAAAACATTGAAATAAAATCTAAAATATTCTAATTAATTCACCTGGTCTAAGTTGTCCATCAATATCGGCTATACTGCCCTTCTTAACTTTTTCGATGAGAGCTCCTCTACTACCACTCTCCAATAGTTTTCCTCCCACAACTTTCAGGCCGAGGATTGAAGCACTCGATGCTGAACCGATGCCCTCTCGGAGACTCTTTTTCAGTACCATGTGCCCAATCATCGTTCGACCATCTTTGCTAACCTGCCAAGACATCGGGTGCTGTGCCCCACAAAGCATGCATCAGATCAGTTAAGGAATGATTAATTTACTGATAAGTTTTCAAATTGAGAACGATTCAGACTTTGATTTTAAACTTTCAAATCAATTTGTTTTATAGACTTCACTATTTAATGCAATAAAGATAAATAAGAAGCATTTATTAATGATTAAGAAATAATGATGAATTCATCAGTACTTTCTTAAAGTCAGAATGTAGTGGTTGTGTAGACCTAGTAATTTAAAGAAGACAAAAAATGTAATAATAGAATTGGATATTTTCATTAATTTCAAATTTACATTATACATTTGAAAGATATATTAGACACTTGAAAGTCCTATCAGTAAATACAAAAATTAATTTTACTAAACAAAATCAAAATTAAACAAACATAGATATTGGTTTAAAATGAAATTTACATCTAATACAATTACAAAAAGTTTTAGAGGAAAACCTAGTAGCTTGATAAAAGAATGGCATGGGTCTTACGCATTGAGAAAGATTAAATAATTGAATTTCATTAGAAGAAGGAATATATCTATGAAATACAATAAATGTATTTTATTTCTGATTTTGTAAAATATTTTAATAATATAATAAATATTGTTTCTTATTTACCACTAGCAAATTAAATTAATAAAATATGCAGGTTTAAATAAATCAGAATAAAATATATATCATTCAGTTTTGCTGAAATAAGGACAGATTTTTTTATATCACAAGTTTATATGTCTACCCCAATGGAGAAAAGCTCATGATTCATAAAATAATACTTATGTGAACATTCTATAAAATATTCTGTAACAATTAATAGAGGATTACATGAAAATATCTGTATCCCAGAGGTGAAGAACAACATATCCACTTGTTGGTGCAAATTGTCCATAACTTTGAGTTATTTAAATTTGTTTCTTAGTTACTAAATTATTTAATTAAAGAATGGACATGGTCTCTTTTACCTCCAGGTCACAGATATAAATACATTTATATATTTAACTTAATCAAGCATCATTCATTTATATTATTACTTTAATAATTAAGAAGTTAGGAGTTAAGTTGAGAGTTAAGAAGTAACATTAATAATATCGGGCAAACAGTTGAGGATTATTTTTATGTTGAGAGTTCTGTTTATGTTTTTTTCTTTATGCTTTTGTAAAATATTTATTTAAATAATTAAAATCAATATTTGGTTTGCTTTACAATGGAAGGTAGAAAAACAAATACCTATCAATCAATGCAGATGATTTCAAAATTTACCAATCGTTCCAACCTGCAGGGGCTACTCGAAAGATACAAGAGAATTTTGGCTGTATTCACAGGTGGACAGAAATAAAGGATCGGAGGTTAAAAGAAAAACTGAGACTATCCTTATCAGTTCCAGGCACCTCATTAGTTCTCTTCCTTACTCTTCTCTACTTTACCTCAATAGATGTTCCATCCAATTTCTCCTGACAGTCAAAAACCTCAGAGTAACCTTTGATCAGAATCTCTCCTGGAATAACCATATTTCTCAGATTACCCAAAAAACCAAAACTATTCTTAAACAATTCCTAAGATTCTGTGATTCTATTCCTAAAAAAAAAAAAACCAGACAGCTGCTTGTATCCTCTCTTGTTTTCTCCAACTTCGACTACGGTTGCTTGGTGTATGGAAGGTTGTACGTCATCTGGAGATGAGAATGAAGAGACTCATGAATTGCTTCAACAGATTCATCTTTGGGATTCCCAGGTGTTCCCTTGTTTCCTGCTTATCACTGAGTTAAAGTGGATCTATCCTATTTCTCGACTGCAATTCCTTCTTGGTGTATTCCTTTTCCATGACTCAGGACGAAAGATCTTCTCTAAATCCTAGAACTCCTTACTCTATGTTCCTCTATCCCCTCTCTTGAAATCAGATCTCCACCTATAGATCTATATAACCTATATCTATACATCCCCTCTCATAAAACCACTTCCTTCAGCAATTACTTCGCCATTAGTGCTATAACATATGCAAGCTTTTAAGAATTTTTAGGTTATATAATTACAACGTATACTAACAGTTAATTGATAAGAGCTATTTTATTTTTATTCATATATATTTTTTGTATCTTTTGTATTATTTCTACATGCCGCCAGCCTGATGTACCTATTACTTAAACTTTTTCATTATTCTTCGGGAACATTAGTCATAAAATAAAATTATTTTTCATTTCGATTGGGGTGTTCAGTTAGAAGAATAAAAATTTAAAATAAATAAATAATATTTATTTTTACTTTTTATTTTTCCGACTGAATACCCCAATCTCTTCTATTTAATTTTCACTACAGCCAACCATCAATCCACTATTTTTCATTTCATTTCAATATTTCTAAAGTTTAATATTATAACTGATATTAAAAAATAAAAAAATATGATTAAAAATCAACACAATTAGAAATTAAAAATAAAACATTTAAGGAGAAGTTTTGGAGGAGGGACTGCAGTCAATAGACACAAACGACATATTGTAATAGTGTTTCTTTGGTTAGCTAACGTTGAAGGTCCTCATTATGGCTAAAAGAACAAGATAAAAAAAATATTGTTAATTGGTATAAGGTACAAAAATAAAATAAAACATAAGTTAATGTTAAATTAGTAATAGATACGAAATATCAAGTACAGATCTATTGTAGACAATAAAAAATGAAAAGTAGTAAGCGAAAAGAGCATAAACAGAGTAATGTAAACAGATAAAATGGAAATTAGTTGATCTCATCCCCAACCAACTTCTCCTTTATTTAGAACTACAGTCAATTATTTCCATACCATTAGAAATAAAACAGGAGCATTATTTAAAAAAAATATATATGCATTCTCAGTAAGAGTGATCCTCGTTATGCATTTATTATGGACTACATTTGATATAACATTAAACTGACAAGATTTTTGATGAATTTCTGATGGATATTTTAGATATTCCATCAGAACAGCTCTTAATTCTCAAGATGATTTTGGTAAAGTTGGTTACAACTGTCTCTACATTCTTCTTGATCATTCTTCACATTGACTTTCGCTAGGGTTTAGATTTGACCAAGTTGGCCAACTAAACAGAGGTTAAATGTAAAAAGTGACCATTTCTATTTGCTGAGTAGATGTTATAAGAATTCATTGTTTATTTTTTCTTGTTTAGTTTTGTTGTACCGAATTTTATTAGATTTTTGACCATATCACAGAGCTCATGTCAGCAGATTAATAAACTATTTCAGGATGATCTTTGTTGCTGTATAGAGAATTGTAGCATATGATACTTAAGTCAGAGTTTTATAAACCAAAGAAAAAACGAATCATTAAATAAAAAACGGCTTGAAGCTATCTTTACCTACCTTGTTTTTCTCGTTGTCCAATGTATTTCCAGGGCTAGGACCAAGAAAATCATGTTGATGACTGCTACTTCCTGTTGGTCAGGGCTGTATACGCCCAAATCTTTTGGTGAATAGTTCGTAGGTGTTTTGAAATCCCTATTGGTAAACAAAAGTTCACTAAATAATTCTCAAAAACCGATATTAAACTATTTGATAAAGAAAAATAAAACGCTAAGAATGTAAATCCACTTGTTCAGTGATAATAGTGAAAGAATTAAAAACAATAAGAAGGCTGCAAGTTTATGGTCGTTCCTTTCAGTGAAGTAACTTTTAGCCTATTAAAAGTGCTAATTCCAAAGATGGATAATTAAGCCTTTAAAACTTGTCCAAAAAAAAAAAAGAATAAGAAATAACTATCCTTACCAGACTAGAATATTCATTCATTCAATGAAAGATGATAAAATAAACAAAAGAAATTGTTTTAATTTACATCATATTGTAAATAATTATAAGACTTATTCCTCCAAGTTAGAATTTCTAAATGGAGAAAAACAATTTAAATGGGCACCCTAGGACAAATATCCTGAATTTGCAGTATAGATTCATCACCCAAACTGCTATTGAAACACTAGAAACACAAAGCTATCATGATTCCCAAACTAGAAGAAATGGCAAGAGTTTCATTCACTAACAATTTCAAAGAGTATATTGCATGATTTAATTAGATTGATTGAAATAAAATTAAGAAATAACATATCTTAAATTGAAAATTGGTACACTTTTCCTAAGGTTATTATGAAGTAATAAGATTAATTTTTAATCTTTATACCTTAATCCTAGGTGATTCAACAGAATTTAAATGTTAAGAGCATATGATTCAATCAGAGGCAGATCCAGGAATGTTCTGATGTGGGAGTTTTTTTAAACGTTTTTTACTTAGGAACAAAAACCTATATGAAATGATGTTTAAGTGATCCTTGAGGAATTATGAAAAAACAAGTTTTTTTGTAAGAACAATAATGCTTTAAGGGATTTTTTTCTTGAAAAATAGTTAACTTAAGTAGCTTTATGAGCAATATGATTTAAAAAGAGAGTATATATATATATATATATATATATATATATATATATATTTTTTTTTTTTTTTTTAGTTCTTTAAGGTTATACGGGGTATTTCCGGTCAGGGGGTGAGGATTTTAAAAGACTTTCCCGGCACCGGTACAGGAACTCGTGACTAATTTTATCCAGTTATCAATTATCAGGTTGTCCAGCAACGGCGGTGCTGTGCACAGACGTTAGCCCGTTCAGCCACCCCGCTCCAATGAGAGTATATTGTGTTAGGTTAGATCAGTCATAGTAACAATGAAAACAATATTTTTTCTATTTTGGGGGGTGGAGTTTCAGCCCAAAAGCGCTTTCCCCCATGGATCCGCCATTGACTAGAACTGGTTATTCAGTAACAAAAATGCCTTACTAGTGGCTACGTGCTGCATTGTTCCTATGGTATACCATAGAAGATAATCTTCATCTTCATGTTGCTTGTTAAGGTTTATCATCCTTATGTACTCTGTATGTATGTAAGAAGCATAACCCCAAAGCTATAACTTGAATATTATTAAAATTAGAATAAACATAATTATCTATCCCGCTTCCGGTGAAAAGTTTCTTCAGGAGGGTTC